AATTTTTGCACCTACAACATAAAATAGCTAAAAAGAATGTAAGATTTTTTATTTAAGTCGGCCAGATTTGGGTATAGGAACTTACTTGTTTACACTCTTCCCTACCTATATTTGTGTAAAATAATTAACTATCTCCTACTTTTTATGATATCTTTTAAGGACCGAGGTGTTGGCAAATAGTAAATGGCTTTCGGCACCGATTTTGACAATTAAAATGCAATTATTTTAACAATGTTGCCATATATTGCCGCTAAGAAATACTTTTGCTTTTACCTAGAATTTGTTAACTTTTCTTTTATATTGCCCTTAGCCCAAACTCGATGTTTTAACTAGATAATTGATCATGTATATAGGGTATTTAATACGAGAATTTATCTCTTATAAACATTCTTATGAAATAAAATAAGAACAAAAAACAGGTATACAATAAATCATATTTTTAACATATGATATTATTATATCGTTATTATCTTAGTGAAGGATCTTATTAGAAACTAACGGCGTAAAATCAGATAAAAATATGTTTATACGAAGTTGAAAGTTGTTTGACCTGGTTGACTTTCTGGTGAAATTGCCGGTTCAATAAAAGCCTTTAAAAAGTATACTTCTATAAATAACTGGGCAGATGGCAGAAAGGCAAAGTTCTAAAATGGGACTCTATTTACATTAACACAAATGGTTTGCCCAGAAAATTGTATTTTTGGATGGGATGGGTAAAATTTTCCACTGGTCCAGTTATAATTTTTGGGCTATAAAAGGAGACGAGTTCCCCGAAATCGATACCATCTGGTAGAGTTAACCCAATCAAGTCACAACCATGAAACTGATCGCTGTTGCCATTATTGGTGAGTAGAGAAGCTCTTAACTGAATTGCTGACCCCAACCATTAATGCACTACCTAATTTTTCCCACAGCTTGCATCCTGTTCATTGGATTCACCGAAGGCGCAGGAACCAAAGATTGTGGATGCCAGGTTTGTGGTCCTGCCGGCAAGGCTTGCCAAGGCTGTCCTGAAAGGATTCCGCTCTGCCAGGACCTTATCAACACCATTCAGACCCTCCAGAAGAAGGTCCGCCAGTGCGTCTGTGGCATACCAACATGGATGTTGTAAGAGCGTCCTGGACAACCATTATTTTTGATCTATTGAAAACCTTTCCTAATAAATTTGTTATTGTTGCTGCAAAAAGGATCTTTTTCTGCGAGATCGGTAGATGGAAAAATGAAACACATGTTCACGTTATTTTATAATATTTATTTAAATCTTAGTTAATTCTTCTTGTGGGTCACTATCACAACGGTCTTGTGGCACCTTTTCGGATTCGTGCACTTCGTATCGGGAATGTGGGTGTGGCACCAGTTGTTGCCCTTCCAACAACGCTTTTTGTGGGTGGAAGAGGCGGTTGTTGTGGTTGTTGCGTCAGTGGTTGTGGTTGTTGCATCAGTGGTTGTTGTTGTTGTAGTGGCAGCTGTTGTAGTTGTTGTGGTAGTTTGAGAATAGGCACACTGGATGGCCAATGCGATAAGGGCAACAACGAAAAGGAACCTCATCTTGGAGTATGCTGGGGTTTTGGAAGCTGCTAATGAAACTATTGAAAAGAGAGGCTAAAGTTTTCTGATTTACTGGAGTCAGCACAAATTATTTTATAGGCGGCTTCTGCTCATTTGCTATTTGTAAGTACATTTGCCAAATAAATATTGGGGAAATGATTTCCTTACTGCAGAGGTAATAAGCCTATAAAATTCGTATCAATATTAGTACGTCAAATATTTGCCATTCAGATGGAGCCTTCTTATGGCCCACTGACATGTAAAGACAGCTGTTCACACCGATTTAAGCAGTACAATAACTTAAAATGATATGATGGGAAGTCGGAACAAAACAAAAAAAAACAAAGTATGAAATATAATTTGTTTAAAAAGAAACTTGACAAATTACAACATATTAAATTAATACTTATTTGCATATATGTAGTTATTTTATGATTTCAACATTTTTATTAGCTTAAATATCAAGTTCTAATAGAATCATTACTTTGGCACCGTACTCTACAACTTTTGATAATGATAAAAATCAACATTTAGTGCCAAGACTGTCAAAATGCACTCCATTTAAATTTGACCAAGTAACTCTATCACAAAAATGTTCAATGGATTTCTGAGAATTAGTGACTTTTAAGGACATTTCACTTTTCCAATTTTAAGGTAAAAAATTGTTCCTTACGCTTTGGTAATGTGTAACCAAAATGGTTCGGTAAATACATGAGTATCGAAGGCTTACTGAAAAGTTAAAAATTTTGTCAATCTCTTTTTTACATTCTTTTATATTGGTAAATGCAATTAAGAGGGTCTCTCATCATATACGTGTTACTCAGCTAAATGGATCGCAAGGGATATGGAGATACATATGTATGCAAGCAGCAAAGTGACTTTTTCCCAGTTGGCTATACCTAGCGGTGGTAATAACTTCTTAAGGAATTTTTCGATTTGAAAAATATGTAGATAGGTATTGATAAACAAAAGAATTGATACACTTATACAACATCTCAAAAATGAGTTCAAGTGGGTGCGGTACCTCAAAACAAACTTGCGCAGCGCAGGAATCTCTAGAATCTGCATGCTTAATACCAACTTTATACCTTATATTGTTTCCGAGATCTCAGCGTTCTTTATATAGGGTCGAAACGCTTTCCTCTTATTGTACATACGTTCTGAAGGGAACAACATAGCTGTTTCATAGGGGCAATTGGTAAGTAAATCCCATTAATAACATTTTTACTCTACGAGAAGCGGTTTTAAAAGTAGTTATTTATACCATGTTTATTGAAAACAGCAAATCATAATATACTTCTTTTTAACCAATGAAAAGCCAATAATTTTATTACTCTTTTATAACAATTTCAGATCTTGGCATCTTCACCCTCTCCTGCGGGTCACAATCACGATGGTCTTGTGGCACCTTCTAGGGTTCGCGCACTTCCTGTTGGGGATGCGGGTGTGGCACCAGTTGTTGCCCCTCCAACAACGCTTCCTGTGGGTGGAAGAGGTGGTTGTTGTGGTTGTTGCATCAGTGGTTGTGGTTGATGTAGAGGCAGCTGTTGTAGTTGTTGTGGAAGTTTGAGAATAGGCACACTGGATGGACAATGCGATTAGAGCAACCACGAAAAGGTACTTCATCTTTAATTGTAGTAAGATCTTGATCAACTGCTAGGTTCGAAATATTTGGTGATGTGATTACTTGATACCTATTCAACCACTTTTATAGCAATCTCTTAAGTTCCGCTTCAAAATATAACTGTCAACAATTAAATATTTGCCAAGTGAGTAGAAGGTAATTTACGACGAAAAGCCCACAAGAAAAATCATTGGTTCAATTACAAATTGTGTTAAGTAAATATCAACAATATTGAACCACATGTTTTAACTCAAAATTATCTTTACAAGACTGTCCCTTCAAGATAGAAAAACACATTAAACATTTTTTCACATTTAAAAAATTTATTGTTTTTTTTTGTTGTTTTTTTATTTTTTAATCAACTTTTACACAGAGAAAAAAATTAAATTGCAATTTTTGCATTTGTTTGTTTTATTTGATTAATTAAAATTTGTTAAATTGCTAGAATTTGTTAAGCGCTACTAAAATTTAAATTTGTTTTATTTCATTTGTTTTCTTCATTACATACACTCATAATCATATAGGTAGTATATGGTATACATATATAATATATATTTTACTTTCCCCTCTCGTTATTTCGTTTCAGCCCTCGCCTTAGACTCATTATTCGTTATAGACCTATTGCCACATATATAATGGAAATTGTTAAACATTACTTCGTCACATAACTATATGGTGTACAACACAGATTCCTATCAACGGTATTTGAGAACAATGTTTCATTCCCTTTATATTAATTTTAGTCGGAAACGAAACAAGCGCAGATTTGAACTGACAAAAGTTGGGGAGGGAATCGGACTCTAAGAGTTATCTTAACTGATTGAGCGTAGCCGCCAATGAAAGCAGATTATGAATCCTGAACTTATAACGAACGAGAAAATTATAATGAAATCTGGCTCAGATTGCATATGGTGGGATAATCGTTTGAATAGAACTTCCTATCGATAATCAAAGATGCCATACTGATGTCGGTCGCAATTGGAATGCAGTTTTAATTCAAATTCAGATTCGGGTGCTGTCTAGTACTGGGGGTTCCCTAGGGTTACGGATAGTTATTTGCTTTCGATTTCACTTGAGGCGATCGGTAATTGATTTGTAATTTGATTCTTGAATGCAGTAATTGGTTCCCTTAAACAACACACACACATACATTGAAAATATACATTAGTTCTGCCGTAGTAGTAATCGTAATGTTTGCCTTAGTCGGTAACTTTGTAGTCCGTAATAGAATGTGTAAAAATTCTACAATATATATAGATATATCCATCTATTTTACATTCATTAATAGAACTTTTCGCATAGCCCTTGCATAAATACATATTCATATCCGCTTGTTCACGGGCTTGATACTTGTCACGATTTTTGTTGTCGCTTTCTTTTTGTTTTTGGTTTATCATTATTGTTTACAAAATACTTTGAGGAGCACTGGACAGATCTAAGATTCATTTCTTTCTTTGTATCCTATACAGTTTACACTTATCCATGGAAAACGTAACAAAAAACACTCCGAAAACTGGAGATAGTTTCACTACTTCAAAATACAATATCAGATATCCGATTTACAAAAGAAGCTCAAGAAAAACCACACAGAAAGCGTTGCGAATCGTACAATCTTACAAAGCCTGGCAACACTGTGAACAAAAAAGTTAACCAATCAATATGGAAACAAATGCGGCAAATGATACTGAGAATTCTACAAATTATAATGTTCTACAACTACTTGGTTAATAATTTCAATTGAACAAAAGGAAATGATCGCAATATCTCTGGTTTGCCTTCTGCAAATTTAATTTTATTTAAGATTATTATTAAATAGATCACATTCATGGTTCTATTTCTTCACTTGCTTTATTTATGTTCACATTTAATTAGTTAATACAGTATATATAGAGTTTTAATTTCTTCTCATTTATTGCTGCTACGGTGGCCCTATTTACATACACTACATATCCTTAGTATATGCATATCCTTATGTGTGTGATTGTGTTTAATGATCGAATGGAGCTGAAAACGTCGATACTTGAGTTGAGATGGCTAAAACATTTATTATGCATTAGAGGGCCTTGGCATTTTACACCTGGGTTAACCTAAATAAGTTTAAAGCAAGTTTTAAATACCTAAGCTGTACTTTTCGTGTGTAATTTTTCATTTGCTCTTTCCTTAATCATATAATGAGTTCTTCATCTTATTAGTCGAGATCTTTGTGGGATTGATTATTGATGGAAAAAAGTTTTTCGTTAGTTTAATATAAATTATTGCAAATGTTTTTTGTATTTCTTGGTTCTATAAATAAATTCTTGTTTGCCATTGCGTGTGTTTGTTTGAGGGTGTGTGTTATGCACGAGTAAAAACTACAATTAACCTGTCAAATACTTGGGATCGGTTCTTTTTTTGTGGCTTTGTGAGAGCTTTAGAGGTCTGTCGCCTACAACAGATTTAATTAATTTTGCCTTTGCGATTTCACTTCTTTGTTTTGTTATTCTACGCTAAAAATTATTTTAAAATTTATTAACACAGATGACTTTATATTTTCCGAAAGTTTTTGCTTCTGCCTCTTCACAATAGTTACCCATTTTTTTCATAAATTTTTTGCTTTTTCTATAAATAATTTCACTGCATTCGTTAATCAAAACAATTTGTTTGCCAACTAACTAGCCAAAATGTATCCATTAGTTGAATACTTAACCGATTTCTCTCGATATATTAATCGCTTTTCTCTTATCAAATTTTGTTTGTTTGTCATATCGTGTGGTTGTTATTGTTGGATGTTTGTTGCATTTGTTTTTTGTTAACTAAACTACAGATAAACACACAGCTACGCACATTGAATGAAATCTTCTGCTGGATTTTAGTTTAGTTTTGCTTGTTGGTTGATTTCGATTTTCTTGTTTAATATTAAAATCTTACATTAGAAACACATCGAATATTAGAAATATTTTTCATATATATCTATATATGTATATTGTATATTCAGCCACTCGGCTACACTTTCTTCGCAAAGTTTGGAACTATGCACAAAAACAAGAAAATAATAATTAATTAAAATAATAATACAGAGCTTAATCATACATAGGTGGAAATATTTTGAGAATTTCTTGAATCTATTTCACTAACATTAAATTTGTTTTTCTGTTTTTGTAAGATAACTGGGAGCCGACTTGACGGGTGTCGGGATCGAACCAAATTTCGAAATAATTTCCAATCTATTGCAAAATGTTTGCGTTTGATTTCTTTATGTATGTGAGTGTGTTCGTGAGTGTGTATGCGTTTATCAATATTCACAATTATTATATAATATCACATCAACTTTGTTTTTATATTTGTTATTATTAACTTTCCTCTTTCTGCTTCGGTTGATCGATTCCGATTCTTATTGTTTGCTCTCATATATATATAGAAATTTGTGGGTTTCCTTTTTCTCAATACAGTATTTAGATGTATGTATGCATGTGTTAGAAGTAATAGCCTAATTGAATCGTGACAAAAGACATGCATTATACATAATACATGAGCTACATTTGATTCCTGGATTATGATGATGATACAAGGTGATTGGTGTACACACATCCATACATACAAATGGGGTTAATACTCTACACTTCCGTCCGGGGGTTTTGCCTTTTGTATTCAATTTAAAACGGATCACCGACAACCGTTCACTGAGTGAAGTTTTCTTCTGCTTGTCTGCCTTAACGTTTTACAATATTTTGAATATTCCTTATGGTTTTCTGTTCTCCTCGTTTTCAATACTTCTTTTTTTGTTGCGATTTTTTTCGTTTTTCAAAAAGTACCTTTTTTGTTTAAGCCAAAAAGTCAGTCCAATAAGAGTTTTGAGTTGCCTGCAACTGCAGTTGATTTGTTTTTGTTTTCGTTTTGGTTTTTTGGTTTTGTTTTTAGAGCTTAGGTTCCAAAATAATTGTGTTTTGCATTAGCGTTGAGTTGATTTGTTATTTGCAGGAGTAAGTTGATAGTTTGTGGTCCAAAAGTTTGCCTCTACGGTTAAACATCATCTCTGTATCTCTCTGTATTCCATAATGGAGATCATGAATCTGGGCTATCGCGACGGAGGAAGCACGACCGACAGATGTTGCTATTGCGATGGCTGCTGCTGTTCTATCTGCTGCTGTTTTATCTGTTGCTGTTGTTCGGAGGGATTGAGTTTCGAGCAGCCCAGCGATGCCGGTTCGCCATGCTCCATGCCGCTCCTCCGTCGAGCGACTCACTCGGATGAGTAGAGCTTGTTCTTGGTCAGCGTGAAGTCGGGACTGATGTTGATGGTATTGCTACGGGTGAGGTTTCTGCGGGAGGTCGATGAGATATTTAGTGTGCTGTTAGACCGAATCTATCTTGCAGATGCTTACTTTATAAACTGCGGCAGCAGGGAGGTCCAACCGCTCTTGTCCTGCCTCAAGGTCAGGTACAACTCGAATATCGACACCGTATCCGGGTCCACCTTGAAGGATGCAATGCGCCTGCAGCGAGTACATGTCATTAATAAGTGTTCCATAGATAGTCTTAAAGGAAATCCCCACCTGACGTTGTTGGGCTCGCTCTCGAACTCGATGAAGAGTGTGCAGGCCCGCTCGCCGCACGGTTCCCGCTCCGACATCCGGATGATTTCGGCTGCGATGCGCTGCGTGAGGTCGTTGGGCAGCGTGACCTCGGTGCAGGAGAGGTGGCGCCGCTTGGCGTCCCTCAGCTGGGCCTGCAGCTGCTGCGACAGCTCCCGCACCGCGCTGGCGCTCACATCGTCCAGATTGTCGGCGGCCCCAAAGCGAGCGCCGGCAGTCGACTGCAGCGGCGAGGCGGGCAGTGGGTGGTGGTAGTGCTGCTGGGCGGTGCTGGCCAGCACGTTGGTCATGTAGGCGTGGTGATAGGCGGCCGCACTGCCTCCGCTAACGGGCACTTCGAAACTGGCCGCAGCCACTGGCGAGGTGGCCTGCTTGGGAGTGGTCATTCCGCCACCTACTACTCCTCCTCCTCCCGCCAAAGGACCACCGCCCCCTGCCGACGGGGGCGTGGCCGGTGGGCGGGTGTTGAGCGCCTGGTGCTGTCGCATGTGCAGCACGGATGCCGGATGACCATCCACCACGTCGACGTCCAGAATGCCCTCGCCGGCGGCTGCGCTCCCGTTCACGCCCGCGGTCAGCTCCTCCTCCTCCTCCAGCGGTGCTGTCGCAGCTTGCCAGTCTGCAAACAATAAGATAAAGTAAAATATTATAGTACAACATATAAAAAATTATATTTTTATATTATTTAATAGTTATAATATAATGTTATTAAACTTTTGTTTATATTATTGCTATATTATTTTGGAAAAGTTCTTTGGAAAAAGCTGGTTTGTAAATTATTTGTATCTTAAATTTTCTTAAATACAAAACAATTTCTTGAAAATACAAAACTTGGAGAGCTTAGTACCTGAATTTGAACAGTTTTTACTGCTTTCAAGACAGTTCACAACAGATTTTTTAATTTATGCAAAGTCCGGCTTGGAAAAGTACTAGTTACGGAAGTTCAACTGTAGTTTTGGATGGCACATTAACCGGCAAAGAATCTTGTTCTGAAAAGTTCGAGTTACGGAAGTTCAACTGTAGTTTTGGATAGCACATCGACCGGCAAAGAGTTCCATGTGGGAATGGAAGCGAAAAAAATCAGCTGATGTCTGAGAGTCGGGATCCACACTCGCGTTCCACTCGGTGGAACCGGAAAGAGCGCTGTGCGCAGACTCCGCTTCCAGAGAGCGCAGGGGTGGTGAGGCGGGGGCGGGGGAAATCACCTGGCAACAACAGCTGGAAAATCAGCCGTTTCCCGTTTCCAGCTGACGCTCACCCCTCTCTTTCTCCCACTGCCTCTGCGTGTCCCAAGTCAGCAGTTTGTGCCCCGCCGCCTTCGTTTCACCCCCTTCGCACAACTTCCTCTCCTCTCTCCACATGCTTTTATTTCTTTTGCTGTTACTTTATTACCCGACCAGACGATAAAAAGCGGAGCTCAACTCCTCTCGAATGCTCGACTCCACTGAGCTGGGAATTAAATGGTACAGTGGGTTGAATTGTCAGGCAACTGAGACGTTTAAAATGTGTCTCTTATTTAAATTACATTTTTTAATGATCTCTTTAAAATCAAATCGTTTCAATAAAATGTTTAAAAGGGTAAGGTAACTATCAATTATTCAAAATTTGTTCAGAGACCACTGTATATTGAGAACGATTCTTTAAAATAATTACTTTAAAGATAGATTATTAGATATGTATGTAGATAGATCCAGTAGCTGAAATTTTACAATATTTGCTTGTCTTTTCCTTGATGACTTTTCCCCAACATTGGATTCACACTCCCTTCCAGCGACTGTGAGTGCACAATGTGGGAGTGCAAGTGCAGCGAGTACAAATTAACTACATACTTGGCTTGTCTCGACAGCGTCTTGTAATTAGCGCGGAAACTCTTTAAAGAGGGTATGCCCCCCGCCCATTGTACATTCCCCTACTTCGCCCCATGCCGCCCACTGTATAATCATTGCAACGTTGCTGAATGGACAATTTGCTCTCGTTAGCTTTGCATGTCCCTCCTCTCCTTCTCTCGCTCCCACCCCCTGCATCCGACTTGCTCTTCCATTTCATTCCCCTGTCTTCCGTCTCCTTCTGTCTCCTAGGCACACCCGCGTAATTAAGAAATTAACGGCACATGTTTGCGGCTCTGCATGTGTCCACATGTGTGCGTCTCTCCTCCTTCTCCTTCTCCACCCCCTCATAGCCCCGTCTCTCTCGCACTGCGTATGTGTTATTGGATTTTGTCAAGTGCCGTTGTCTCCACAAAAGGGTTTGTGCAAAGTCAAAAAAGCGAAAGCCAAAAAGAACGAAATAAAAAAAAAAAAACAGAAAACGACCACACACTTAATTACAGAGCACACAAGCAAATGTGTACATTGTATGGATATGTATGTATGTATGAATGTTTGGATGTACATTCTGCCACAGCTGCGAGCAAATTAGTAGCCGTAAAAACTCTACTCACAAATGAAAATAATCTTGTTATCTTTACGAACCAATAAACAAATTCCATAAACTGCACCTATCCCTTAGGTGGAGGTAATTCCCACTTCAGATACTTCTGTGATACTGGAAGATTTCCTTGCTTTCAATATTTTGAAAGTATTCTAGGATTTTTTTTTAAAAAACATAAATAATAAAATCAGTAAAAAATTGTATGGTACATTTATATGAAGTTATAATCTATTTTTTTATTATAATTTTTTTTTCCAATTTTATTATTGAATTTACACTTAATATTTGATTTTCATATATTTTTTCCCCCTTTAATGGACAAATTTAAAAGGATTTGCACTGTGGGTGGTGTACTTGTACATATGCGTCTGCCCACATTCATATGTACATATGTATTTGCTTTTGAAAGAGAGATGGGCATATTGATGAACAGACAGCCTCCTCCTCCCTTACCAACCATCCCTATTTCGTCTATCCTTGTCTTGCTTACCGCAGCAATCGAGGAGCATTTGTGGTTGTGTGTTTTGTGCATCCGAAATCAGCAAGAACAACAACAGCGAACACAAGAATGTACCTACATACATATGTATGTACATATGTATGCATAACAATACCTGCGGAATGAAGAAGCACCGACGCAGCATCAGCCCATCCAAGTTAACGGTACACCGCAAACATGACTGTTCTTGTTTCTTGTGCTCTTCCATTGTTGTTGCTCACCTCAGAGGAGTGAAAGAGTGGGGGTGGGCAGGAGGGGAGGAGGAGGTGGATAGGTGAGCTTCGGGCTTATTACTGGGCTCTCTTAATGCGTGACGTCGCTTGGCCTTGAGATTCAATTTTCGTGTACTTTAGAATGGCAATCGTGTTCTCACAGTGTATATTGTCTATGATAAACCTGTACTTCTTGCATTTTTAATGCCTTAATTAAATATATTGACTTTGGAAGATATATTTTCACTAGATATGTATATATAAGATATTTAATAGGTAAAGTAATACTTTACTTTTCTTCAGTAAAGATTTCCAATAATACAACTACATATGTACATTCATATTTACTCAATACAATTGTCTTTATTTTTAGTTTTTCCACTTAATTACCGAAGTAAGACATTTGTACTGTTATCAACGCTTATTGCTCAGTCCCATTCTATTTTCAGATCTTCAATAAAATGTCGCTAATCAAGTTAAATTGGTTGTAAGACAGTCCATGAACTGTGCTTCGTATGTTTGTGTTTGCGTATGATTGTTGATATGTGTATACAAACATACATATGTACATACATATGTACGTACATGTTAGTTTTTTTGAATCAATGAGCAGTTTATAAATAATTCATTGCGACCAATTTTGGAAGTCATTCGCATTTGGCCCCTAATGGAAATCTTTGGAAACCGCTGCGAATCTAAATTCGACAAACCTACGCATGGGTTTGATAAATATTAAATCAAGTTCTTGATAACCCTTTTTCGCAATCCCCAAGAGGAGGTATGTACATATATATGAACATATAAATATAAGAAAATACATATAAAGATAACTAAAGAATAATAGCACCAGAAACATGGGCATAACAGAGGTTAAGGTTTATATTAAGCAAGGGATCTAAATCACTTGGAAAGATGTAATCAATTATTAAATCTTAAATTTTTAATGTTAGATAACAATATGATAATGTAAGAAACGATGTAAGAAAATATTAAAACGATCTAAAAGAGTATGGCTTTCATCCGCGTTATAAAGTAATAAATTATTTGTTAGGTATTCTTAGAAATCAACAGAGTGTAATCCAAATATTACTACTAACATTTTCTACTTATATGTACATACAGTATGTACATTTTCTTCACGGGGAAAGAATAATGACCATGTGTGAGTGTTGGTGAGGCTGCCTGGTTCGTATGTCCTTCGAAAATAAAATTGCATGCGCTCAGTCAGTCATGAAATTAAATTGACTGCAAATACATACGTTGCCAGGGGCGTGGAAGGGCGGTAAGGGGGGCGGCACAGAGGCGGAGGTTTGGCGCGGTCTGCAGAGCTTTGAGCGCGATGCAAGCCAACAACAAGGTGGAAGTGTAGACAAAACGGGCCCCTCAGCTTTTTTCACGCCAAATCTGTCCATTCCAGACCATTAGATCTTATGATTGGAAAGTATGTACATTGTACATACTTACTATATCCCATTTTATAGATTTTTGTAAAAAATGTAACTGTCTTTAAGAACTGGACCGACCTCTAAACATACAAAATTAAACTAAACACATAATTAAAACTATTCTACAATATGTAAATATCGGGGTTTCATATGTTTTAGCCAAACTTATACTTGAAAGTGTTTACATACATATGTACTTAAAGGAGTAGACATTTAAACATGATCCTAAAAAAGTTTATTAGAAGACAAATTCACAATTTGCTGGGGGTTCAATTTCACGATATCCACTAAAATAAATTTGTATATTTAATTTTATTACCCCACTAAAAGAAGCAAGATTTTCCTCAAAAATAACTATTTTAAATCTCCTTTCCCGCTAAAAGGGGCAACACTGTGGGTAACGGTAAATCTGCGGGAGTGTACGTTGGAAGCGACATGTTGTTGCATGTCGCTACCACCGCCGCTTGTGTTGTGTTCGCCTCTGGGTGATTTTACATTTTTTGCTGTTTTTGGCTTACGTGCTACGTGGCTATATGGATGTATGGCTATATGGAGGTATGGCTATATGCATATGGAATCCTCCCTGTTGCCCAGACGGCCTGTTGTCCCCCGTCTAATTTGCCCAACTCGACTCCTTGTGGGGGCCGTGGTGCAAAGTTTAAAGTGACAGGATTAACAGGATGTTGCATAATCTGCCCGTCAGACACATGAACAGGATATGCCGGCCTGGCTTCGGACGGGAGCCAAGTGCAAAATGCAAAATGCATAATGCAAATTTCACATTTTTACAACCCCTCAAGCGGGCCCCAACGGGTTGTAAAAATGCAGGCGATTTCGTGAAGGAATACTTTTCATTCGTTTTGGAAATTTCGGTATTTGGAAAGCCTTGATGCTCAATCAAAATGGAACTTAATTCAAGAACACTTGAAGCATTAAGCACTTCCATTTGGAATCAGAGAAAAATGTTTCCATTGGTTAAAGAAAAACTTGAATAAATGAATTTTATAATCTCTGGAAAATTTGCTAAAGACATCAAATGAAATGTTTCCGTACGCTATAAAATTAATTGAATCAAAAAAGAAGAAAATAATGGGCCATAAACATGAAAAATAAAAATGTTCGTGGCACATTAAAATATCTGAAATGTGCCTTAATTGAGAATTCTTGCAAGAAACGACCCGAGTGGATTTTGTAAGTTCACAAGGTGAGCAGCGACCTTAAATTTAGTTTTAATGCGTGGCAGGGCATTAAAATTAATCAAGCGTTATAACACCGAACAGTAAATGTTTAATCATTTCTGTTGCTGTGCCTGTGCTGCATTTGATTTTTATACTGCCTAATCGGAAATGTTCTTCGATTTGGTAATTAAAGAAAAACAGAAACGAAACTTCCGAGGGAATAGGAGGAAAGATTCGTTTTTTCACAGCACAAGTGGATTAAACTTTCAACTTATTTTTAGAAACCTTTGATTTTTAATGAATTGAGATATAAACACATTGCCTTAGTTTTTTAGAAATTGTCTCACTTGTGTGTTAACTTTTGTTCTAAGATGTTCTTTTTAAAGTATTCCTTTATAGAAACCACTAACGAATCAGTTTGAAAAAATATTTAACTTTTTGGGACACTACATTAAACACAATTTTAGTTTCTGAAATCAATTTTTTTGGAAACAATTAAATATATTAACATTTAAAAATATTTTTACATGGTCTTATGAAAAACCATCTGGAAAATGTAAGTTTATCAAATATTTCCAAAAGTATTAATATTCTTTGGTATACTACGGTTGCTGATTGGGTTTTTATTCATGTAAGAAAACTATTTTCAAAGTATTCTGCATTATCTTTGGATTTAAAAACGTAGCTTTCAGACCTTAGAACCTATCTCTATATTTTCTGGACTCCACCAAATTCCTTATAATCACACACTTTTTTATGAATTTATTGGGCATTGCGACTTACCTTTAATTTTATTAACACCGAATTTTCCCTGAATGTGATTTTGTACTGAGAGCACTTCCATCTTCATAGAGTCGCCGTTGAAACTGCTGTTTTGTGTGTTTTCAGCCGAGTGTTGGGTTTTCGAATAAAAGTCTGCCGCCTGCTGCTGCTTCCACCGATATATGGATTGCGATATATAGATTTTCGATCTCGACCGACTTTCGTTGCGTTATATATGTATGCGTGTGTGTTTATTGCGTGAGTGTGGATAGTTGTATTTAACGTACGTATAGAAATGCACTTTAATCACAAGAATTTGATTTTATTTCGCGGGTGTTGGGTGTTTTTTGTGGTTTGCGGTGTGTGTGTGTGGGTGGAGAGTTCGATTTTCCAGCGACAGCGTTTTAACAAACAATTGGAAAAGTATCAACAACTAAATTTGTTATTCTAGTTAAACGTTTCAATTCAATACATGCTAAAAAATCAACGCAATTCGCCGCCCCGTTCAGCTCTCTCTCTCTCTCTATCGCTCTCTCGCTGGTTTAGCTTCCTTTTCCTTTCTTCTATCTCGCTCTGTCTGGTTTTCTTAATAAATTTAAGCACAGCACATGGTTTTGATTTAATTCAAGACGTTCTGGTTGTTGTTGTTGTTGGTTGGACAGAGATTTCGTTTTCGATTTCCTAGGCGTTTTTATCTTTGCTTCTGCTTGGCTACATATGGCGGAGTTTCAAGTGCTGATGGCTGCGTTTCTTGTAGAAGTGTTCTTACTGCCTGGCCGTTTCGCCTCTTTCTGCCTCTTCGCTCTCGCTCTTGGTCCGATGTGCTGTTTTTGGCGGCCGCGTTTCGACTGCGGTTTCGTATGGAAAAAGCAGAGCTTTAAGTTCCCGTTCCCTCTCTCTCTATCACTCTCTCTGTCTCTGCTGCGTTTGCTCTTTCGCTCGCTCAGCTGTGCTGTGGCCGCTTTTTGTCTGTGTGTGGGTGCGTTGCGAGAGCAGCGCGGCCAGAGAGCTTGGAAAACAGAAGAAAAACTGGACTACGGCAGCGGCGGCGGCGGCGGCAGCGGCACAACTTCGATAACGGGACACACTGGAGAGCTGAGCTGAGCGGAGCGGAGCAGTTTCCAAACAGTTTTCCAAAGCTACTATCCGGCCGGCTCGCGTGCTGCTGCTTTTATACCAATTTTCCGCACCGGCTGCGCTGCCGGCGTCGCAGCTTTTCCTTTTCCTTTCCACTCTCTCTTGAGCGGCTCTCTCACTTTGGCTCTTGCGGCCGCCAGCTGCCAGCTGCTGCTGCCGGGCGATCATGTGTTGCCATCAGCTGTTGTTAAAGGGCTCAAGAGAGCGGGAATCCCTTGAGCACTTCGGGCAAACTCTTAAGCTAAGAGAAGGCACTCATGGGAGCTCTCTCTTTGAGTGCATTTTGCAAGCATAACTATGTTAGTGTAATTTGTTTTGAGTTTTTCGTTTAAATCATTTTTAGGAATTTTTCTAAAGTAAGAGGTATGCAAAAATATAAATCAAACGTATGACATTTGTTTATATTCATTTTAAATTCATTTTTAAATATCCAAATCACTTGAAAACAATTTTGTAGAGTTTTGCTTTTTACTTTTGATACGAATTCTATTTTGCTGTATTGTACAAAGTGAAACTTAACATAAAAAAATATTTGTGTATTCCTTGAATGTGTTTTTTTAAATTAAAATTTATAATTTTTTCGTAACACCCTTTTTGGAATTTATAAATGATGTCGGAAGTACTGAAGTTCTTATAAAGCCTGTAATATCAAAAAACCTTGAATTGTAGAAGAACTAAAAGCCTTTGGAAGTAGGAACATTTTAATAAATTGAATAAGTGAATTATATATGTATTGTTTTTAAAATAAAGTTTTGATTGGTGTTTTTTAAAACATAGGTATGTAGATGCATATTATTGTTACATTTTGATTAAAAAATGGAAGTTTTTTTTTGTTTGGTCCTTTTTATAAGAATTTCATAAGAGGATTTATGGTGCTTTGGGGAATGTATTGCCTGCACACAGTTGTGTATTTACGTATGTACTCACTTACTTATATAAATACACTGTACATATGTTGATGCCCGTATATCGTGTATGTGGCCTTTACCGGATGACAAGACCCATTGTACCGCCCCTCGTTCTGGTGGAAATGGAAGGGAAAAGCAAGAAAATGGATGAAAATGCCTCGCCGACACAGGGCCTGTCACTGTTTTAACAATTCATCTTAATAGAAATAAAAAATGGCGCCGCTGGCGTTGGACAGTCCGGCTAACACTCCTCCTCCTCCCCCTTGGCCCCTTGGCCCCTTTCAGCCCCTTATCCCTTATCCCACATCCCGAGTAGCCCCCACCCAACCACCCACCCACTCCCCTTTTCCTATTTGTCACTGGCTCGTTGTGGGTGCTCCGCTCTCCATCGGATCGGCTTTGGAGAAAGCATCCGCATTTCCCTCGTCTAGCTGCCTTTTTTCCGGGTCTGGGTGTTGTGGTGCTGGGGGATTTACACATGTCAGTTAATGCTGAAAAAATGTTTACACAACACAATTGCCTGGCGGAGGGCGAGTGGAGATGGGAGGGGGCGGGGCGGGGAGGGGCACAATGCCCAGCATGGGGCTTCTGCCGCACCAATGTACTGAGAAAAAATAAAAATATTTACACAAAAAAAGAACAGGTTCTATGGAACAGGTTCTATAGAACAGGCCTATGATTTATCCCGTTTAATATACAAACTAGGTTTTCCAAGTACTGAAGGGATATTTTTAAATACGTATGGAATTGTGCGTAAGTGTTTCAACGAATTGGGCTAGCTATGACTATCTCAAACCGATTGTAAATAAGAAGATATACAAAATACACATATTTCTTTAAATCGTAAAATAAAAAGATTTTTTTTAAAAAAATTGTGAATTTTACACGAATTTTGGGGTCTTATCCATGAATAATTCGAAAAAATTTCTTTCCGATTTTCATGGGGTGTTTGTTATTTAGCAGGTTCCAAAGTTTTAAGCACATCTTAATAAAAAAATGCATAACTGGAGACTCGATTAAGTAAATTTAATTAAACTTGCACAGAAACGTTATTAGTCAAATATCTTTTTCCAAACCATTTTTATTATTGAATTTCGATCGTTTATCGCTTGGTTTCGGAATCCCAGAAAGAGTGTTGGCTAACAATCTTTAATCGATAATTTTATCAGTTTCCTAGGGTCTAATTTTGTAACCGCCATTTCTTTGTTAATAGTAATTAAAAATAAATATAATGAATTACAATTATTTTTTTTCAGTGTATGCCAAAATTTTTAAAGGCTAGCTCTCCTTCATCTTCTTTTGAGTTTTTTTTAGGCACGCTGCAGCAGTGTCGAACAGGATAAAAGTCAGTAGCATACAATTAATCAAATGCATGATTTATGTGAGTGAGTCCACACGAGTTTAACCTAAATACGTCCCGTCGGGAGTTATCCAAATGAGATGTTCAGGGGGGCTTACTAGTCCCCCTACCGAAAGCAACCCGCAGCAGCTTAATAGACCTTTCCGCATTGCAAAGACGATTACTTTGCGAATCGTTGGCTTTGTTTTCTTTAAAAAAATACCTACCGTTTGTACAAAAAATTTAAGAAATCTAATCTTTTTCGCCTTACACTTTATATACTATGTTAGTAATAACTAACTAATATACTAAGTAGTAGTAGTAGCATATTATATATTTTACTTTGTAGATATAATAATGATTATATGTGATAATTTCTTAAACTCAATGCCTCATTTACGTATTAAACTATCTAACCAAAAGCAAAACAACCATACACTTAAGAAATGGATGAAAAAGTGCCCCCCCTTCACGGGTAAAATGTATTTGAAAAGTATGCAATAAAAATGTGTTCTGGAAACCCCTCTAAAACCAAATCCTGCATCCGCCTCTTGCCCCAAAGCTTGATTTTATAGAAATTAATTAAAACCAAAATATACTATATATTTCTGAAATCGATCTAATGCTTAGCTAACGAGCAAAAATTGGTTTTGTGTTTATTGATCCATGTGATTTTCGCCTCGGGTCTAATGGAGCTCAAAAATAACTGCCAGGTGGTGTTATTATTTTTTGTCAGCCCCAGCATAAATGCTTCTCAAATCCATATACCATATCCACTTAGATTTGATATTTTTTTGTGATTTGAAACTTCTTCACAGGTGCGGGACTAGAAAAGCCTTCACGTTCGCAGACACACAAATGCACTTCGCAGGACAAATGTGGAGCGGAATGGGAGCCGTAAGAAAACGCTGCTAAAAGCCCCAACCAAAGCCCGGCTGCCGGGCACTTAGGCCGGCAATCCTTTCTTCACAGGATCAAAATTCCCAATTCCGAATTCCGAACGGAACCATAGAAGCTTCGCCGGGATTCCAAATGGGATACAAATGAACGCCTTTCGAGCAACCCAACGCCATCGACATCGCCATCGCCATCGTCGAATGGACCACTTAGTGAGCCTTTGTGGCGCAGGAGGAAAATGCGGAGCTGCCTCTTCTAATGCGCTGCACGTTTTCCCAATAAAATAGCTACAACAACATGGGCAACAATCCTTTAAGTTCTTCGATACATCGCCGGGGAGCCGGAAACTGGAGCTGGCCAAGAGTGGCTTTTTAGTTCGCGCGCCCCTCGCTGCACGGGAAAAAAGAAAAGCCTATTAATTAGTTGATAAAAATTACTCAGCAAAATTGGAATGACTAACCACTTTTGGGGTGTCATTGGGATATAATTAATTTCGCTTTCTTAAAGTAGGTAAATTCAAAAATATTCACTTTATAAATTTTATATATTTTTAATGATTAAAATTAACAAAGAAAATTGTCCGTTGTAGGACTAAGTAATTGAAAGTCAAATAGTATTTTTAGTTCATGAAATGATTTTAAAATGTAACTATTTTGATAGAACAATATACCATTTTTTATGGTTTTTTCTTATAACTTAGCTAAAACTTAAAAGCTCATTACTTTGTTCACACTGCACTTAGCCATTTTTAACAAATAGTTTATATTTATAGATTTAAAAAAATGTAAATGGCAATCACTAATGGATTTTATATAACAAGTATAACGAGGAACATTGCACACTTTGACTATATTTGTATTGAATTTAATTAAAAACCCGCGTTTTCTATTTATTTTTGAAGTTTTTAGGTGTTTTGAAAACTAAAAAAAAAAATTCCAATAGTATGTTTTGTAAGAATTTAACCATGATCAATTGATAACTCTATAAGGTGGTAATATCTATCTATTTAAAAATAATTTTACCCTTTTTGACAGTATGAACGATCACTATTAGGTATTTCCATTTCTTTCCGTGTGGTATTTGGTGCAAGTTGGAGGAGCGTAACTGCCATGAACATCGATTTTCATGTGATTTGTGTAGACGTGTTTGGGTTTTATTGATTTTCACTTGATTCCCTCCATATGCTTGAATATACTTAAGCCGGTACGTGCACATCTCCATCTCCATCGTCATCGCCATCGTTGTTTCTATCCGCATTGGCATTCGCATCCCAGGCCATTCCATCCCGTCCTCATTTCATCCCAGGTCGGTCGTTGTCGACAGAGCCGAGCACCCGAGCAGCTCTAATGTCAGGATCATGCGAGGTTATCAACATAATTTCGAAAACCACCCATCCGCACCAGCCTCCATCTCCACTCCGCCCCCAACTTCCTAGTTTATGATGTAGTAGATTTCTGTTTCTTTCCTGCAGCATCATGAAGATGATGATGAGGCGGTAGTGGAAGTGGTAGTGGTAGTGGGTAGTCGTAGTGCCAGTGGTCGTGATGGGCAAGATGGGCGCGTGTGCGGTTTGATAAGACGCCAGCGATTCGGCTCCATTTCGTTTGACTTTCATCTGCCATCCTCATCCTAACATCCCCGTCCGATTTGGGCCCATATTAAAGGGATTCAGTCTGATTTTTAAAGGGGAAGGCGTGATCCCTTCATTCAGTCATGACAGTAGGTATATTTTCGTACCTATTGAAAAAAACTTAAAATATAAATTGCTAAGTTTTTGGTAAGCAGTCCATAGGTTGTAATAATATCGCAGCTTTTAGTTAAAGAAAATGGCAATCGATTTATAATGTCAATTTTAGATAATTTGTT